TAGTTCGTCTGTTCTTCTAGTTAGTTGGACGTCTAGAAAAGATATGCTATTATTCTGTTCATCTTCTGGACGAACGTTGTTAAATATATTAAGTAAATTGTGTTTATCATTTTCTTTTTCTAATACTATGAAAGTATCATCTATATATCGATGATAAGTTGGTAACTGGGTAATTGTACTTTTAAGTGGTCCATTTTCCAGTTTTGCAAGGAAAATATTAGCCAGTAGAGGGCCCAATGATGATCTCCTTCCCACTTTTCGCGGAATATATTTCGATTATGTAAAAAAAATTGTTTTTTCCTCATTACTATGTGTGGAAATCATAAACTCAAACTGTATTAGAATTTTAATTAACATTTATTCTGATCCATTACTAGTATTATATCAAATTACCAGTTCTCATGAAAGTATAAAGAATTGAGATTTATGGACAAACGTTAAAATTACACAATTACTATTCATCCTGAAGTACTGTTTTATAACTCAGGATCCTATACTTATTAAAAAGCATGTTTCATGATGCTCATTATGGGAACTGCAGATATTTCAGTGCCCCGTTCATCTGACTCTAATTTGATCGAATGATGATGTGAATGAAATACACATCCAGCCTAACCTTGTATACAATTATATACCTAATTAGCATTGGAGTATAACGGAATTAAATAAGTCATCTACGAGTATGAATCTTGGACACGTATATTTCATACAGTCCTTGGCTCGGACAGACAATATGAGGGGCGAAGAGAAGCAGAGAATGTGACTGTTCCAACTTGATTTGATCAAGCGTCATTTCATCTACGAATTAACAAAAGCCATTACTTCATATAATTATATAACCTTGAATAGAGTTCAAATAATCTGCACTAATATTGTACCTAAATAGGGGACTACATATAATATGTAATTGATAATTAGAATTTACAAAGCTTGTAAATAGGAAGTTAGACAATAATCCTGACAGACTGAGTCAAAAATTTTATTTATTCATTTAGTCTTCAACTCAGTTCGTTTTTATAAAGAGAGCAAGAACTATGTGTATGAAATTTCTCAGTTCGTTTTTATTTACATTAAGTAGACAATAACCCATTAATACTCATCAGTTTCTAGGTTTTAATGTAGCTGGAATATTTCTACCTCTCCACTCTGATTGAATATTTTTCAGCAGCGCTGTTTAAGTTCAGTCGGCCAAACCGCAATGCAGTAACCAGTTCAAGTGACTTAACGTCACATATACCATATTTCGATGTTAGTTAGTTGGGACTAGTCGGTAAGAAAACCTGGACCTAGATTTTGAGATAGTTAACCCACGTTAGAAAGGCGAACCTGTAATCTTGAAGTGGCTAAAGAACCCCATAAGATTCGCATTTCATTTACTCAGAATCACAGTCTGAGATGTTACTTCAAAGTTGTATGTAGATTAAATGACCTTCTGTAAGATTGATTTCTATACACTGATCACTGTATAGTGACTCATGTCATTTTCGTTTAGTCTTTTTTATTGGTTGAATTTCATGCCTTCCATTTTGAAATATGATAAAGTTTGTGGACTGTAGGTACTCAAGGCAGAGACAAAACAACTACGGAATGTATAGCTAACTTATCAATTTTTAGTATTCATCTGGCGATACTATGCAAAGAAGAGAAAATGAAATAAAAATAAAGAGAACTCAGAGAAGATTTTTTTCGATGAAATCGTCTAATTAGGAGGTACATCCGTATTAACAGCTGTATAGTAAATATGTGTCTATTGAAGGACAGAGAAGATTGCATCATAAATTGATTCGAGACTCTTATTATCAAATGAGGTTACGTAATAATCAAGACCTAAGAGAAGAATATGAGTCTGGGAATAATTTAAGGGTCAGAATTACGGAAAATAATTTTCCACTTGACAGATATGAAGAAAAACGAAAAAAAAAACAAAGGTTTTAATAATAAAACTGAATAATAATCATAAAAAATTCATTGATTTAGCTGAATAGTGATGTAGTTATTATAACTTCCTCTATAGGAGCGGCTAATTCTGTTGTTGCATATCAAGTAGGCAAATCAGGTAACTTATCCCTTGTTCAAGTAAATACTATTAGTTGAATAAAAATATTTACGTAATCCATTTCATTTTTCTTTTTATTGACACATAAACTGTCTTTATCGGTTTAATATTTTATATATATTTATATATTCAGTTAAATATATAAATATACATGCTAATTACTATTTTATATTAGAGTACAGTTTAATAAAGAACTAATCGGAAACATTAGTCTTCGATTGTATGCGTTATTCTACCTTAAAATAACGGGAATTTATTTTTTAACTCATCCTTGTTTGAAATATATCAATGGAGATCATATAAACGACTGAAATCAGTCTATTTTGTTTTCTGTTTATTTTTTCTTGTAAGTACACCAACTAACTTTCAACTAAGAAACATTCAATGCTTATGGCTTAAGGTTACGTAAATTTTCGTTTATTTATTTTTTTTTTTTATTTAATTTTTTGTGTATGTTGTTTTCTGGTACTATTTTGTTTGTTTTTCTTAAGAGATGGTAATTGTGGTAATGAGTATTATTGACTTTCTCTCAAATAAATTCATTCAAGCATTAGTTTACTTTTCATTTAATTGCCCATTTATATATTAGTTATTCATTTTATTTGTTTATTTAAGAATAATAATGATAATAAATAAATAAATAATAATAACAAAGAATGATGACGTTAGTGTTCGATCAGATACAACAATCATAGCAATAATAATAATAATATATACGAATATTCGTCAAGATTAGAACGAATAGTTTGACAGTAATTAAGCGCCGAGTATAGAGAAGTCATTATATGTGAAAATTATATTTGAAATATTCTCAGCGATTGAAATTTAACTAATTCCAACGTTCTGATTATTACCCTGAAGAAGTCCAGACAAGTTAGCTGGACGAAATGTTGGAATTAGTTAAATTTCAATCGCTGAGATTATTTCAAATATAATTTTCACATATAATAGTAATAATAGTTTCTAATGATAATGATTCAGGAGTATGAAATTCCGCAATAAATCACTTTGAATCATTTACATCATAATTGTGTTTAAATAGAGCAAGAACAAACATTGATGCAGAATAGTATGAATTCATATTATTTCGAGGTTTCTCGTCAGCTGCTTACAAACCAAAATTGTGATAGAATTTTTACATGGAGATAGTGTGAAACAATTGACAGAAATGAGTGTAAATAACGTGATTACAATAATAACTATATATATATGCTAGAAACAGGTCAGAGGTCAAAAGAGGGGAGTTAATCCAGGGTGGGTGGTGGGTGGATTAACTCCCCTCTTTTGACCTCTGACCTGTTTCTAGCATATATATATAGTTATTATTGTAATCACGTTATTTACACTCATTTCTGTCAATTGTTTCACACTATCTCCATGTAAAAATTCTATCACAATTTTGGTTTGTAAGCAGCTGACGAGAAACCTCGAAATAATATGAATTCATACTATTCTGCATCAATGTTTGTTCTTGCTCTATTTAAATTCATAAAGGGAACCAATTGCATGAAATAATTGTGTTTGTTTATTTATTTATTGATAAGAACCATTGAAAACTTTATTAAAATTTAATTTCTTGAAAATACAATGAGAATTTTCATTGAATCTTAGGAAAATGGTTGGCTACAGAATAATAATTTTTTTAAAATATTACTTGACATTTTAAAAATTAAAATGCCATTCAAAGTAACTGTGTTTACGACAATCTTGTAACATTCCGACAATGCAATGAGAAGACGAAGTTTATCAGAATTATGTGATATATTTACGCAATACATTTCGAACAATCTGATCACACCTAATATACTTGTTAAGAACATTTATATATGAAAATTAAAAGGTCAACTAGACAGGTTAAACGTAAGTCATAACAAAGGAAAAATAATAAAGTGTGATTGCCACTCTGGATAATAAATCAGTAGTACCAGGGTAGGTTAAGTGTAAGGACAAATTGTTTTCGAACACATAAAGGAGCTTTCAATTTGTAACAGTTTAAGTCTCATTGTCAACCAATTAAAGATCAGCTGATATATATGACAAATTTAGATTCAAAAAATGAAGAGCATGAAATTGACGATATGTATGTATTGTTTAAAATTTCTTTATGAAAAAAAACTAATTCTTAAGACATTGATAAAACTATTTATCATTATGATTTGAATTGAAATTAGAAATTAAGTCTCAGAAATATTGTCAAGAAACAGAGGATTAAGCAAAGAATTGTGAATTATGGAATATCAGAAGGAGTTTGTGAGACTGATAGGTCCTGGGTTCGAATCTCGCGGGGTGCGGGATCGTGGATGCGCATTGCTGAGGAGTCCGATACTAGGACGAAACGGCCGTCCAGTGCTTCCAGGTTTTCCATGATGGTCTAGCTTTAATTGACTCATGATTTCAATCTGTGAAGTTATGGAATAATACTAAACTTAATTGTTAGAGCAATGTCTAAAATACAATATCATCAAAACAGAAAAATTCTGTGTACATTCTATAACAAGAATTTATTGATTTCTGTCTAAATTAAAGATTGTATGAAATATACGTATTCGAAATTCATTCTTGTATTTGATTTATTTAATTCCGTTATTCACCAACGCGATCTAAGTAGGTGATTATATAGAAAGATAGCCAGGATGTATATTTCGACAGCAGTTATTCAATAACAATCATTCATACGATCCAAATGAAGTCAGATTTAAGGCCACTTAAAGTCAAACTAATATATTGCTTTCATTTTCTAACTTCATCATGCGATAACTCTTTATAGCTGATAAAATTTTCAATCTAAGTGAAGTAGTCATTCGTGTTCATCTGTCCTTAACATAGAACCAAATTACATGATTAATAAATTATAATTCTATTGTTTTTCTATTCATTTAAAATATTTTTATTTAAAAATATGCTTAACTAAATTTTGTTTGGATCTTTCATTTTTTTGATTAAGAATAAAGCATGTGGTTCTTTTTGGTGAAGGTGCTGGAGCGAACATTTTGGCACGGTTTGCAGTAAGTTTTGTGATTTATCACTTATGAATATGTAAATTGATAAACAATATTATTCTATCATAAATATATTTCATACTTTTGTTAAATGTTTACTAGAAAGATTACTTGTACTTTTTTATGTATGTGACTAGAAAAAACCTCACAAACCTGTACGTGTGTTATAGTTGACCTAGCGATGATATATGTCACCCATTTATTGATGTCATGTCTAGTTGAATGTAAGTGATAATTGAATTTATCTGGAAGCTATATCAAGTTATAACTATCTGATAGAAAATAATTTGAATTATGTACTCATACTTCGATTCTGGGTAGGATATTTGTGACATAGCTCAGTAACACCTTTCTAGCTAATTTACTATGATTTATGATCATTTAAACAACAACTTATCAAGTCACGTAAAAACTTACAACTTGGACAGCGTAAAAATACTACGAATATGTAATTTACTAAATACAGTACCTTCTTTTTGCACTATTTCCTTTTTGTGCTTCCTTATAGCAGATATAGATACATATTCTTGTGTCATTTCCTAAATATTATTAATTCAATTATCATACTTTCTTTCGAAATGTCATTCTATACATAATATTTTTTTCGCATCCTAGTGTCACGTTTCGACCAACTTTTTTATCTATCAGTCTATCTGCATTGTTGTATGCTTGATATTCAGTGTCGTGTACTAACATACAACATACGGAAGTATTATGCATTTACAAATGTTACAGTTCAGACAACAATTAATTTAAGTTATATTACTTTATATTGTAACCGATGATAATGACTTGCTTATGATTTATTCGTTTCAATGTATATGATAACTGAACCAATTTGTGTCTTTGTATGAAAAAATAACGAAAAGATCCATTGAACGTGTTGTGTTGAGCGGTGTGCGTTTCTGATGTGCAAGCTTTTTATACCCAAATCTAAATAGCTACTTGAATGAGAAGGCCGAGAATAGGAAGAAAGCTTTACTGGCCAGACTGAATGGAAGACTAACTATATAAGCATTTAATAGAATGAAAATAATGAGGAAACAACTAACTATTTAATCGTAAATCATACACCAATAGGTAGCACAAACAAGAAATAGTTCTGAAAAAAAGACAATCACTTTGAAATTCGAAACTACGATATCTAGAATAATTTAAAAAACAGTTACTGCTGAATCATTTACAAAAATAATAATTTGTCGTGGCTTCAAACACACTATTTACGTGTGCTGAATCAACGTCTGAAATGCTTCCTGGAATAGTAGTTTAGACAAAAATGTTCAAACCAAAACTTTGCACTAGTTCATGAAGCCGATGACTGTATGGTTGGGCCACGATAGTAGATGCAGACTACTAGCCTAGTGTCAGCTTAATCATAATAACTGTTAGTCGATGACGTTGATCACAGTGGCAGAGATGTATTTGCATCTTACCTACAGTGTATTTTATTCCGTGAATTAATTCTTTCTCTCCAAATAATATTGTTTACGCTTAATATTTTTTATTACAGATGGTACTCTAGTATTTAGTTGGATTATTTAATCTCATTATACTAGCATGATGTGTTGATAAATATCAATGTACAGATATCACAAGTCCTACTTTGATTACGATTGACTGGATTTTAAAGGCAGTCTAGAGTTTAATTTAGTTCAACAACAAGTGAGAATAGAATCTCAATGCCTCCTAGTTTCATATTTACTGATATCCACTTAAAGTTCAGTTCCTGTTTGTTTTCTTCCTGCCTGTTCTTTTTTATAAAGAAAAGAACACCAGAAATGAAAAGGAGATTAGCTGTCTAGTTTCTATATATTTTCTGAAGTAAAAAACCTATTTCAATGTAAGCGAAAGTTAATGTAGATAAAGTGCTCAGTGATATCATTTCTATTTTTAAGAACATTGGCCAAGATTTTCGAAGTTAAGTTGTATAGAATACTTTCATTAATTTTTTCGTTCATTTTGTTGGTGCGTAATGCATACCGGAATATGTGTTTACTGAATATTTCTTTTCAAAATTCCAAAGTTATCCTCAACTACGCGAAGAACATTTCAGTGTGGTCTAGCTTATCACATCGGAAGAAAAACAAAAGTTTACTGAAGTTTAGGGCTAAAAGTCGAAATTCTTATGAAGAACACAACCTAACATATCAGCCAGCTGTCCATATGGACATTAATTAACTAGTGTTTAAATATGTAGCTTCAAGGTAAAGATACGATTATATTCATCACACAAATGTCGATTTTTTGCTCAATATTTGAAGTATGGAAGCCAGAAATGAGCGAATGATACATTAATTACTTGAAATATATCTGAATCCAGAATACTGAAACGGATGAACAGGTGTTTTTTGGAAGCGTGTTTAATGATTAAGATGAGTGTACATTACACTTTCGCTCTTGTTAGAGCAATGTACTTCACTTGTAGTATTTAGATAGACACATCTAAAGAATCATTAGACTTTTTTAAGTTAAATAAGAAACATCCATCATCTTGAAACATTGATTGATGTTAATTTCATCAGTTGTAATTTATCATTCCGTAGACAGTTTGAGAAGTATTATGAACTACGATTCATTCGTTATTTTCTCTCACTTACATAGTGTCATTTCGAACACCATACGAAGATAGTAGTCCTTCTAACAGTATCGACTTTTTTAGATTTAATGATCATAATAAGTGGTGGTCAGTTATAAGATTTATATTAAAGATATATTAATAAATAGATCTGCCATCCTCTCTCAGTAAATTAACTCTTAGTAGAAGGAAAAGATTTCAGTAATAAGTAATTACTATAGTAATTGGTTGTTTCATTAATAAATAAGCGAACTCGATCGTTATTCTGACAGAAATTAATCTGGGATATTTCAGCACTACAATTATGTATTTGATGGTTCTCATTTTACATGCACATTGACGAATCAGAAACAATTTCAACTTCCAACTTGCACATTTATTTTTACGTTATATAAAGACAAATTTAACATCTTATATCAACTATTAATAACTCAATCTTACACATTCACACACGATTCATTCACCCATTTATTTTCACATTGTGAACTTTTCCCATGATTTGCATATAACCGACTCATGTTATCCTACTTCTTAAAATTAACATCTGAAATGATTGTGAAACACTATATATTTCTTTGATAATCTTGTTTTTGATTATCCTGAAGAAGTCCAGACAAGGTAACTGGACGAAATGTTGGAATTAATTAAATTTCAACCGCTGAGTTCATTTCAAATATAATTTTCACATGCAGTAATTATAGTTGTCAAACAGAAATCAATAACTTATAAAATATATGCATAGTAAATCAGCATAGAATAAATTATCACTATAAGGTGACTAAGTGGGTTTTTTAACCATCCTGGAAAAAGTTCCAACCATAAAGAAATATTGATCAATTATTTCATTTTTTGATAAGTGAAACGAGATTTGAGTTTTAAACGGAGCAAAAGATTGTCTATTCCAACTGTTTATCTAATCCTGTGTATAGATATCATAATTACCAAGGTAAATAAACTCAGATTTGATGTTTCCAACCTATATATATGTATATTGGTTTAATAATCAATATTATTTTCTAAAAGAATCATCATTGTAAAATTGTAAACTGGTCTAAATAAATAATAGGGCATTTTTAGAAAAAATCTGATTTTCGATTAATTCACCCATAATCCTTCTCACCCTAAAATTGAGATTTAAAATCTACATTTAATTGTTCTGTTTCTTTTCTTGTATCCGTGAGAATAAACATAAGTTCACTATTATATTGTTGTTGGTGATTTTTTCTATTATTCTCCTATAAAAATTAATGAATAAGAAAATCCTAATGATAATTTATTAGACTGAGATTACCGGCTAAATAAAGAAAAAAAAATAAACAAGATAAAAGAATGTTACTTTGAATATCTGGTTAAGTTTTGGTAAGCAATTATTTGATAGTTAATATTTTATCAGGAGGGGTTTGTGGAGATTTTCGCAATTGATAAGTCCTGGGCTCGAATCTCACTGGGGGCGGGATGTGCACTGTTGAGGAGTCCCATACTAGAACGAAACGGCCGTCCAGTGTTTCCAAGTTTTCCATGGTGGTTTAGCTTCAATTGACTCATGGTTTCAAGTATAATATTCATTTTCAGATTAAATGAGATTCGCTTACTTCTGTTCAGTAATAATTCATCTTTAAAACCTATTTAACGTATCTAAATGAAAACGTTTTTTGTAAACCTGAAAAACAAAAATAGAAACTAAAAAAGATGGCGAACTAACAAGTGTTAATCAAAGGCTAAAATGATTCAAATACCATTTCCCACTTAAACATTTAAATTCAAATAGTTTAATGTTACTCAGTTATATTAGTAAAGCACCTTACAATACTCTACACATTATTCTAGGCGGTATCAACGCGGCAGTTATCCACTAATGACATTTGATGATGATGATACAGTGTTGAGAATCGATTAAGTTACAAATCTGAACTATTAAATGTTAATTCGGTAGTCTGAAAGTTCAGTTCTCGCCATGAGTCCCGAAAGTTTCGGGTTTGATGCGGTGGCAGATGCACACTACCAAGATGTCCTATATTGAGATAAAGTAGCTGTTCAGTAATTCCTGATTTTTTCATGTTAATAAGTAATGTTTCATGAAAGAAATCATAGTGTTTTGCAAACGTGTGTTTACATAATTTAATATCTTACATGAAGAGAGCGACTGTCACCATATCTCAAATCAGAGTACTCTAACAAGTATAACTCGTTATCTCTTGACTAATAACAGTAATCAAAAATTTCTGTGCAATAAAACATCTATCTGTCTATCGACTTTTATTGTCTACAAGCGTTCTCAGATGTTAATGTTTGTAAAAATAGCTATTAATGTTCAGAGAACATTAGAAAAACAATGTAAATTCCAGTGGATTATAAATATAGGATGAAGTCGAATTCCATCATTTTATGCTTTATATGATCAATATCAACCTTTAAAATGAATAAATGAATG